GAGGAGCAAGGGGAGGACCTGGACCCCGAGCAGTACTACCGATGTGGTAAGGGCAGTACTACCGCTTAGGAGCGGTACTACCGCCTCTACTGCCGTACTAGTGCCGCAAAACCCAACACGAGAAAAAGGGTCCTCGAGTCGAGGCGGTAGGAGCACGGAGCTGCAGTGGTACTACGGCGGAGGGCTTCAAGCGGTACTACCGTTGTGGAGCGGTACTGCCGCTTGGAGCACTCGGGCGGTACTACCGTTGTGGCCCGTGGTACTACCGCTGGGACCAAAAGATGCAAACAGGACAGGGAATGAGCTCTCCATTGAAGCGGAAAGTCTCAGAGGGTGTGACAATGATGTGTACGTGTTGATTCCACCCTAGCCTTACCAAGCGGACCCCCTCTTGATAGTACGGTGACTCCTACGAAAAACTAGGCCACCAACATAGAAACGAAAGAGTTGCACTGTCTTGAATAACACTCCGAGTGGAGGGAATCGTCTCGTGCCAAAGGATTAATCTCTGAAAAATCAACGCACACGATTAGTCCGCAAAAGCATTGTCATCAATCACCAAAACATCTTAGGGATAAATATGCCCTTACAGTGTGTCCGGCCAAAGGGGATCGAGCGTGTTGGGTTATGTGGTGCACTCCTGCAGGGAAGTTTATCTATTTGAATAGTCATGTCCCTCGGTAAAAGGACGGCCCGGAGTTGTACCTTGACCTTATGACAACTAGAACCGGATACTTAATAAAACACACCCAGACAAGTTCCAGAGACAACTCAGTGATCGCTTTCCCACAGGGTGACGAGGGGAGGATCGCCGGGTAGGATTATGCTATGCGATGCTACTTGGAGGACTGCAATCTACTCTCTTCTATATGCTGCAAGACGGAGGCTGTCAGAAGCGTAGTCCTCGATAGGACTAGCTATCCCCCTCTTATTCTGGCATTCTGCACTTCAGTCCACTGATATTGCCTCTTTACACATATACCCATGCATATATAGTGTAGATCCTTGCTTGCGAGTACTTTGGATGAGTACTCACGGTTGCTTTTCTCCCCCTTTTCCCCTCTTTCCTTTCTACCTGGTTGACGCAACCAGATGCTGGAGCCCAAGAGCCAGACGCCATCGTCGATGACGACTCCTACTACACCGGTGGTGCCTACTACTACGTGCAGGCCACTGACGACGACCAGGAGTAGTTTAGGAGGATCCCAGGCAGGAGGCTTGCGCCTCTTTCGATCTGTATCCCAGTTTGTGCTAGCCTTCTTAAGGCAAACTTGTTTAACTTATGTTTGTACTCAAATATTGTTGCTTCTGCTGACTCGTCTATGATCGAGCACTTGTATTCGATCCCTCGAGGCCCCTGGCTTATATTATGATGCTTGTATGACTTATTTTATTTTAGAGTTGTATTGTGATATCTTCCCGTGAGTCCCTGATCTTGATCATACACGTTTGCGTGTATGATTAGTGTACGATTGAATCGGGGGCGTCACAACCGATCATTGCATATGATTGCTTTGCACTGTTATGGGAGACTTGCTTGGTATGTAGAGCCACCCCCGATGTTTTTCTGCTCCTGGTTCAACTGTTGATGTTCCTGCTCCTGCTCCAATTGCCGTTGTTCCTACTCCTGCTCCTACTCCAATTGTTGTTGTTCCTACTCCTGCTCCAATTGTTGCTTCTTCTGCTCTTGCTCCAATTGTTGCTTATGTTGTTCTTGCTCAAGTTGTTGCTTCTCCTGTTCATAACAATGATGTTTTTGCTGCTCCTAGCAGTGTCCAAGTTATAGATAGTTAATACACTTCAATGATTGCTGCTAATCCAATGGCAGATGAAGAGATTTAGTTAAATCAAGGGATTTTTGAAAATGATTGTCATAACGGTGTTCATTCAAAAAATGAGTATGATGATTTGTTTATAGGTGAGGATGCTGACTCAGTTGACAAGGCAGAAGCTCAAATGTTTATAGAGATTGTTTTTGCATAGGAATAGGAGGCAAGACAGAACAAGAAGATAGTTGATAGGAAGCTGGCTCTGGCAAATAGTAGGGCATGAAAGGAGAAAAAGGTTGCTGATGACTTGGAGCTATATGATGCTCCATTGTATGATGGTGGAGATGACACTTTGTCAGAAGACAGTAATGATGAGACAAGATATGTGATTGTATTCAACGAGAGGAAAAGATAAAAAAAGCAAAGAAGGAGATGGGCCCTAGAATGAAATTTATTGACTTGCTTTATGAAAGGTACTGATAAGCTACCAACTGTACTAGTTAGGGACATGTGTTTCAGAGATGTCAAATAGTTCAGGGTGCTGCCAAGTCTTTTCACCTATTGCAAGGAAGAAGATTTACTTTTGTTAAGAACAAGATGCACAAGATCAGGTTAAGGTGCTATGAAAATAAGCACATTCCAAATGTTTTAACCAAATAGCTCGGCGAGGACGAGCGATCGCGGCGGACGACGCTGAGGGCCGGGATGAGGCAGCCGACGTCGGTAGGACATGGCTTCTGCGTTGCGAGCTTGACAGTGTCAAGGTGCTCTGAAGGAGGTCGCTAATGGGTGGGATGGGGCGGCATGTGGCAACAAAGTTCACGGTGCCTGACAGAGTGGTGATGGCAGCGACCAATGGCCGGAATCGGGCGGCGCGAAGGTAGGGTGAGGCGGTGCGGTGACGTGGAAGTTCACACTGGCGGTTGGGTTCCCGCTACAACCGTTTTTCTTTTTGGCAGCAGTCAGTGGTGCTACAAATATACATCACTTTTGGCAAAATTTAGGTCATTTGCAAAAATAATAATTTAAATTAGGCACTAAACAGATATTGAATATCTGTGGAAGCTTTTTTTTGGCCCAAAAGGCCCCAGACAAGCATTTTTTTGGCACAACCAATGCTCTTAGAGTATCTACAACCGGGTATACCAAATCCAACCCCTATACATCCACGGACGGGCCCAACCATGTCCATGGATAGTGGCCGGTCACCCCTCATATGGCCACGTCCGCAACTGGATTCTTCAAAGTCTGCAGACAGTTATCGATCGCCCATCAAAACTATCTATGCAACGTGAGAAACTATCTATGTTCATCATCATACAGACAAAACTATCTATGCAACGTGAGAAACTATCTATGTTCATCATCATACAGATATAGATGAACTGATGAACAACAAACTTAAAATGAAATAACATACGAGCATATAAACACAATCCGTCGGAACCAAAATCTTGTCGTTAAAGGAGACGATGTCGGCCAGTTGACGGACCACACGCTGCTGCTCCTTCGCCATCTGGGTTGCCTTGGCTTTGACCGCCGCATCCGCGGCCCGTGGGCCAGTGAGCAACATTTTACGACGAGGTATGTGCCGATCGGTGCAGGCAAATTTTTTTGGGAAACGTTTGGTATCGATAGACCGATCGAAGCTTCGGCCGGCGCCTCACCCATGCGCTCGCTACGTTTTCATATACAGACGACACGTAACCTGGTGGGACCCCATCTGGTGCCTTGTCTCTTTCCGTCCACTACTTTTCTTCCTTCCCAGCGTAATCCTCATCCATTCCCCACTCATCTCTCTGGTAAACAAGCCCTGAGCAACACATCCTTCATTTTTTTCTGATCTCGGTGATCTGCTGCTCCGGCGAGCGGTGCCCGGAGTTACTGCGGGGATGAGGAGCGGCCGTTGCCTTCTAGGAACTGAGCCACCCGTAGCTGCGAGCAGTGGCCGGAGCTGAGTGGGCTGCAATCACGCGGTGCTGCAACGCTCGTCGCCATGGCCGCCTGCAGCTGGGTGCGCTGCTCTCCAGGGCCGGCGCGGCAGGATTTCGCTACAACTATGTCTTGTTTTTGCTGGAACCAGCCGATGTTTTTGCTACCACCCCGACACCAAAACCTGCTACCACACCGATTTTTGCTGGAACCGGCGAACCATTTTGCTACAACGGTTTTGATTTTTGTTACTACCGGTGTTTGTGGATTTTTGCTACATCCATCTTCATGTGAGTCCTGCAACTCTGTTTTTTCTTCAACCAACCATTGTTTTTGTTGGAACTATCAGACATTTTGTTTGGAACCAACGATTTCCATGGATGCAAGTACGACAACATTTTTCTTCGTTGGGATCGGCAAGCCATTTTTGATACAATGGGCGAGCAGTTTTGCTTCAACCGACATCTATTTTTGCTAGAACCAACACTTCCAAAGCTGCGACAACCGATGCTTTTTTAGAGCCGTGACGGGTCACCACTGCGAGCTGCGACGGCCACCGCGGTGAGATGTGTTGCAAGGTCGCCGGGGCTGCTGGAACAGTGGTCGTGGAGGTGGAGGTGGGGTGGAGGTTTGATGCAACCCGGTAGCAAGGGCGGCAAGCGGGTGAGCAGTGATGATCTGGTGAGTAGCGGCGACCCGGCCAGCAACGGTGATCCAGCGAGCGACGATGGTCCGGCGAGTTTCGAAGGTCGTCTCGTTCTCGTCCCGCACCGCGCTTGCGTGATTTGGGGGCAAAAGCCAGATAGAAGAGTGCTTCGAGGACGAAGGTCACGATCTGACGGTTAAAACACAACATATCGGACGAGTACGGTGCGACCGGCCCAAATTTAGGCCGGCACACCGGCAACTAGTAGTCGCTAATTTTTCTAATCCAGAAATAAATGCGAGCACCAGGATTTGAACCTTGGTGGGCTGAGGATAATACAGTCCCTCTAACCATCTAACTACAGGTTGATACGCCATATTTAGATAGTTAAATTGTCAACTTGGAACTATACAAGAATGACTTGTACACCGAGGTAGTACTAGCACATTTTGTACAAGAAAATACAACAGGCCTGAATACGTACGGCGGTACGGAGTACAGTACATCACAATATAATACTGGTGCAATACATGGCGGGATTATTCTTCAAAGAACCGCCGGCTACTCTACGACCGTGACACTACTGCCGCCACTCTGCACGCCCGAGCATCACAGTGAGACGAAGAACCCGGCCGAGACCTCATCCTCACGGCTCACTCCTCCTCGTCGCCAGCGGCCCTGGCTCCGGCGAGGCAGGACTCCGGGACGACGACGCCGGCGGCCTTCCCGGACGCGCTGCGGCAGTAGGCAGAGGCGCCGCGGCCGCTGAGCCGCTTCAGGTTCACGTCCTTGAGCGACACCTGCCTGCACGGCACGACGTCGCTGCACGAGAAGGTCACCGCCCGCTTCGACGCCGACGTGCCGGCGATGTTCACGTAGTCGATCTTCTCCACCGCTACCGTCCTCGTCGCCTGCATGCATGCGCCCAAGAAGCAGACCAAAGTTTCAGACATTGATCGGTGTGCTTGTCAGCCCGGCAAGCAGAGATCGTATTGTACCGCGGTCGATCCGCAGGGTATGGGGTGCTCGGAGCGGTACTGGTCGATGATGATGGGGTCGGAGACGTTCTTCATCACCACGTTGGCGAACTTCACCTTGCGCGCGTAGCCGCAACTATCCTGATGGAGACAACACAAGTTCATGATGAGCTCCTGCAGTTCATGATGAGCTACTGGTAGATCCATCTTGCCTGCCAGGTCTTGATGAGGAGGCCGTTGGAGGTGTTGGCGATGAACATGGTGTCGACCTCGATCTTCTCCAACCTGTCAGCCACCGGGGTCTCGCCTATGCTCCCAATACTGACAGATCCAACACATGTACCAGGTAAGTATAGTAAACAACAACTTAGCAATGAGCAGACAAGCATGTACCAATGGAGTAGCTGATGAGGCAGTGAAGAAGCTACTCTACCTGATGCCATTGCCAGGCCCACAGGAGATGTATCTGAGGCGAACGTCTGTGCAGTTGCCCACCATGGACACGCAAGCGCCTCCTGCTCAAAATAAGAGATTCAGTTAGCTAGGAGTCGGAGTAGGCAATCTGTAACTGAGGAAGGAAAGGAAACCCCTTTCTTCTTCAGATGCAGAATGCCATTGACGGACGGAGCGAGCACACACCTGTGGCGATGTGGATGTCGTTGACGTGGACGCTGATGGAGTTGACAAGGTGGATGCCGGCGGTGCCCGGGCTGCTCTCCGGCGAGGCCACCCTGAGGAAGCTGGCCCTGGCGTTGGAGCAGCGGGTGAAGGTCAGGTGCTGCTGCTGCCCGTTCTGCAGCGTCACGCCCTGCACCCGCACCCCGTGGCACTCCTCGAAGTGCAGCGCCTGCGTGCATGCAGAGAACACGAGCCATTTTTTCTTCCAACGTGAACGAGGGAGAGGCAAACCATGGCAGGGAAATGATGAGCAAAAATCTGAGTGAAGGTGACAGAGGAGCTCACCTTGGGAGCATCCTGCGCTGTGCAATGCTGCAGAGAAACAATCGGAGTAAAACAAATCAGTCTTCAGTTGTGTGATAGTGATACACACAATCATACAGTGATGAAACCAATATATACCTTGTCGTTGCGGTGCCTCCCCTTGCAGGCCTGCGCCCACCACTCCTGCCCGCGGCCGTCGATGACGCCGCCGCCGCTCACCGTCAGGTCCTGCACCTGGAAGAAGTGGAGCCACCTGCCGCCGTCGCGCCGCTCCCAGTCCTCCGGGCTGTCCGGCGCGATGATGTTCCCGGAGACCTGTCCCGCCGGGCAGGGCACAAACCAAGACTCGATGAGCGAAGACGCGCAGGTGCGTGCATGCCGGACGAGAGAAGCGCACGCGGCGGCAGGAAGGAAGGAAGGAAGGAACGTACGAAGAGCATGATCTCGTCCCTGCAGGGCCCGGCGAGCGTCACCGGCCAGATCTGGTACGACCTGCCGGCGGGCACGTGGATGACCACGTGGCCGTTGGTGCTGGCGCAGGCCGCCGTCCATGCGTCCACCAGGGCCTGGACAGCAGAGCCAAACAGACAGTGTCACTCACGTTTGAGCAAGGTGGAGGTATACTGTCGCGTGCACGTACCTGCGTGTCGTCGGCAATGCCGTCGCCGACGGCGCCGAAGTCGTCGAGCGAGAGGAGGATGCGGGCCACGGAGGCGCCCGGCAGGAGGAGCGCGACGGCGCCGGCGAGGGCCGCGAGACGGAGCAGAGCCATTGCCGTCGCCATGTACCCTGCGTTGTGCGTTGCAGGTGGGTTCGCTGCTCTTGGTGGTGCCACGCCCGCGCTAGTGGTTGCTGCCGCTGCTGGGAGTCACGGGCCGGAGGAGCATTTGACGAGGCGCGGCGCGGCGAGAGGACGGGCGGCGGGGGCCATGCCGAGGACCGGGGCGCAGGCGCTCGCTGATCGCTTTTCAGGTGTCTGGCCGGGGGCGGGGTGACATGGAGCATCAAGCATCCACGCAGCGGGTTCACGTGGGCGGATGGACGTGACCTGTCGACCTGCCGCGTTGTACGGGCCAAACTGTGGCGTTGCGCTTGCGTTCGGGGGAGCTGTACGAGGACTGCTGGAGGTGCGTACGACTGGTTATCCTCGTGCCAAACGATCAGATATTTTGAATGGGGAAATGTGCATATCTACAGTTTGAGCGACAAGTAATTTCGGACGAAGGAAGTATCAATTTTGACGAGGCATCACACATAAGAGTTTTCAAGCATGATAGTGATAGAGAAAATTACACAAACCATCAATTATTGAGGTCGATTTTGCACATAACACTTAGCATTAGGGTTTGTTGCACGAGAAACCGCATATTGATGCAACCCTTTGCATCTAACTCTAATCCATCGTTTAACATTGTTTACATGAAGAATTCTCATCTAGGTTTTCTTTGTCGGCGCCGTCACCGGTCCGTGTCGTCTCCTACGGTCCTTGAATCATGGAGGCGCGGTGGATGCCGGCCCTTGCCGGCGGGACAGCTCTGACATTAGGTGTTTTTTTAGTTTTGTTAGGGTTTGTGCCATGATAAGAAGACGAGGAAGCATCGGTTTTTGAAGATGAAATAAGGTCCTTCCAGTTTAGCCCCCGTCCCGGCGATGCTTCTACCACCGCCAGTGGGCGTGTGGCAGCTGATCTCGTGGGATTCGCTCAGCGTTTGTCTTTGGTGTTCGTTCGTTTACGTATGTGTGTCTACAGGTTGGATCCTTCCGTCGACGCTTCTCTTCATCGGCGGCGGTTATGGTTCTGATGTGTTAGTCCTATGGGCCCTTAGCACGATGACTTTCTGACTGTCTACTACAACAATGTTTGCTCTACTCTGACGAGAGAGGGGTGATGATGGCGGCACGCCTTCGGCTTGCTATAGTGTTTGTAGTCGTCGATAGGTGGATTACGAACCTGGATGTAATTTTTACTTCTCGTTTTCTTTGTGCTATCTTGATAGTTGATGAATAGATTGAAAGATTTCTTGAAAAAAAAAACTTTATTTACACGATTCCTAATGGGCGATTCCTGCTTGTAAGTGCACACACGGCAAAATCGACGGTCACATCATCTTGCTAGTTAAAACCATGAATATTTGTAGTTTTAGTTGCTCATTCAATTTTTTGGTTCAAAATATGTTTGAAAAATCCAATCATATTTGTATTTAGTATTGGTATGAAAAAAGCTTAACTTATTGAACGTGGCTAGCGGCACCCGAGCGCCCGTTGGTGAGATCATGGAATCTTGTCCATACTTGCATTTATTTGGGGTTTAAAAAGTTTAAAACATTGTAACTTTTGATTTAAGCGTCAAAATCCAGTTTCATTTTCACAGTTGGGTTCCTCGCGAAAGTTCTTCAAAACTAGATCTCATATCGATAGGTTTCGTTAAACTTTTTTTCAAGGCAACTTTGGATACGATGGAGGCAACTTTAGTGCTATAGGAAAGCAACTTTATTTTTTTTGCCTTGTAGGTGTGCCTATAACGTTGATTTGTGTAAAAAAATATGAGAAAATCATACAAAACATGAGGCACCTTTAGTGCTACATATAAGCAATTTCGTTGCACTATGTGTATCAATGAATTTTGCTAACATATCCCAACTTGTGTATCGTGTTTGCTCAGTTGCCTACCGTGGATGGTCAGTTGCCTACCACTGATGCCCAGTTGCCAACAATAGTATAAAAATTGCCCTACAGTTGATGCACGATTGCCTGCTATTGGTAATTAGTTGCCTATCATTGATGCTCAGTTTTCTATTTGCAAATTAATTGCCTAAAATATTATGAAGTTGTTTATCACAAGGCAACTCATGTGTACTCTCAGTCTAACCTGGTATCTAGACAAAAGCAACGATATAGGGAAAATTATAAGTTCTCCATTGATGAGGTTAATGGAGGCAAAACAAGGACAATGACTTTGATATTGTTATGCACTCGAGTATCACACAAAAACCGTTAGCAACTTTTGGGGTGTTTTTGTGCAACTCTAGTGGATTCGACAAGTAACTCGTGTTTTTTTCCATTATTATATCTGAAGATTTCAATGATTTTCGCAGGCAACTTGTGCAAAAATTATGAACAACTTGTGTATATTTGTCTTCAACGTTGATGGTTACCATTTTTTATTTTTTCATATCAGCTCGTGAGATTTATCTACTGTTCTGACACAAATTTACTTTGTATGATGAATCCAGGGCTCAGGATAAGGATATCCTGATTTACTATTTGCCTCATGTGGTGTTTCTCATCTTAACGTTAATATAAAGTGTGCCCTTTTGCATCCAAGTAATACTATTGGTTCACATTGATCCTCTCTATCATTTACCAAATCACTCACTTTTCGAAATACTGATATGGAATTATTGGTTAGTTACAACCCTATTTTGTTTTGAGTTACAAAATGTCATTATATAAGATTTTGCTTCGTAACACGTTGTGTTACCAGCTCATCCATGAGAATTTTGAAATATGTTAGTACTATTCCTCTATTTTCTTGATCTTTTATTTACAAGTTAGTTCTATTGTGAGGAGAAGATTTGGCAGTGGTTAATCAGTTCAGTAAGATAATTTTATGTCGACGAGGCAGTGGTTAATCTGTTCAGTAAGATAATTTGATGTTGACGAGCACATTGATTACTCATATATCCACCTTAAGATGGCCACAACTTATTTCGGATTTTAGCACATTAACTGCCAACATTTTCTGATTTCAGAAATATATTTCATGTGCTGGATGACCTCACTATTTTCTTCGGTTGATTTCAGATAAGGTTAGAAGACATGCCAAAAAATGGATACTTCTCAATCAAATGAACAAACATGCTATCCGCTAAGCTTCAAGACTGAAGGGATAGATAATCACAACTTCTAATGGTATTTCTGCATTCTCTATTGCGCACTCTTATGTTTGTTTCGGTGTAGTGTCCAACCATTTATGCTTTCGTTATTGTGGTCACCTACATACGTATACCAACGATTGATGGTAGCATACTGGATTCCTAATGCTGACAGGAATAGTCGTCAAGGCGATATTTACAGGTGCATGAACTAACTTTTCTTTTGACATCCATGCAAACAATATTATTCCAGAACCCCTGCTACCTGACAATAATGTATCAAATCCTTAGTTAAGGCAATATTCCCCATTTCCTGTTGGTCTAAACTATAAAAATGCAGTTCATTATTTGGATAGGATCTCTCTATCTTCATACTTATTTCTGCCGCCTTCTTGAATCCCTTTTGTGTCTATATTGTGATTTTCTGATTTGTTCCAGGTTGTGCACTGAGATTGAATCATCTACATCATGCCTCTGGTAGGAAACAAATGTATGCTTGTTTCCCTTTTTTAGCCCACATATGTTGGTTTCTGATACTCACTCCTTACTTTTCTGTTTTAGAAAAAAACAAGTGTTGTACTGAAGTATCGAAACACACTTGGGGTTTCTGTTTCCTGTAACATTTGATTTGGGGAGTTTGTGACTTCCTAGACCTGAATGGTTATGCATGGACCATAGAATATGAATGAAGGATACTTTAGTAACATTTATGTAGAGGTTGTGACCTCCATTTCCATTCGTTTTTGCTCTGATTCTTGGGAGTAATCCTAATTGGTTTGATGTATTTGGTTAATTAGGGTGACTTTTTTGGCTGATTTGGGTGACGAATTTGATGCTTGTGTGAAATGTTTGGGAGTTTCTTGGCTGATATGCGTTGTTCAGGTAATTCTTCAGCTAGTTGCTCTGCTCTGCTATCGAGGGGGGAGCTGACGGAGAGAGAACCAATCGAATGCACAGGGAATAGATAGTTTCAGCATAATATTGGGATTCCCCATGTGATGGTTACATGAGGGTGGTCTTTTTTGCAGGGCCAATGATGTGTGCAAGGACGGAAAGTGGAAGTCGATCAACGCTGGAGACGTTTTAAAGGCGCTCTATGAGATCGAGTTCCCAGAGTTTGTAGATCCCGTGAGGACGACACTGGAAGGTAAGTGTTGCTGTCTACTTGTCTCCTGCATTCTGTTTTCTTGCTCGGTTTTGTCTATCAAGCACATGTTCTTTCGGATCGATAAATAACTCTATGTGACAATGCAACTGAAGATTGCAGTTGCTCAGTGCTTTAGATTGTTGCCGAAATTCTGGCAGGATAAATAGAAGTTGTTTACAACAATGGAATTTATTGGTTGTTTACTATATCCTTATGCATGAAGCATTGTGTGACTCTGGGATTCCTTTGCCTATCGTGAATAGCTATTGTATTTAGACGCAATCCAGTGTTTTAAGTTGAGATTTGTATTTTAAAAGTATTTTAATATTAATATACGGTAATATTTCTTTCTGGGATCATTCCATATGTTTAAAGTTATTTGTGGAAGATGAATCGCTCCAAAATCCTTGAAAGTTTAACTCCCACGAATTTAAAGGTCTGTGTGTTGGCTTACACTTATTTATTCCAAATGTTAAAACATGTTTTTCTAAGCGAGAAATCTAACCACCAGTCGACTGGTGGTTAGCGTCAGGCACGGACGATTCTGTTCGATCGAGCGATTTTCTTTTTCTCCCGCGTCGCGTTCCATCGAGCGATTTTCTTTTCCTCCCGCCTCGTTGAACCATTTTTTTATGCACCGCTCGTACGAGTTCCCTCGACCGTCGGTCCCTCCGATTTTCCTTTCCTCCTGCGTCGCTGAACCATAATCTGCCGGATATTCATTGAATTAACTCCGTTAATCTCTCTGATTCCCGATTTTCA